AAGTATAAGGGTAAAAGAGGAAATAAAAGTTTTTCCATCGTCGCCTCATAGATTATAGATCAAACTTATAAACGCTACTTCCACTTTAAAGTACTTTTTTAGTCGTGTTTTTTTGGATAAGAAGAGTGTGCTCAAATTTCTGCATGTACATACACAAGATTGCAAGTTTCCCATTCCCATTAGTATCCTTATTTAAAAAACCAGCTACCCATAATTCATTAAAAAAACAATATCATAAACGTGTGAATATATTTTTAAATAAAATTCTTCTTTTTCTAAATAAAATACTATTTTACTTTTTATACTTTTAGCTTTTATTCATTTGGGTCATGTATTCTCAAAATGTTCATTTTGGTATCTGTATTTTCAAAATTTATTTATTTTGATCGTTTTTGTACTTTCAAAACGTTCATTTTTGTCCATATATTTTTAATTTTTATTTATTTTGGTCGTTTTGTACTTTCAAAACGTTCATTTTTGTCCCTATATTTTTTTATTTTATTTATTTTGGTCGTTTTGTACTTTCAAAAGGTTGGTATTGGTCTACGTACTTTCAAATTTTAGTAATTAAAAACTATTATTATTTATATTTATATTTATAAAATTTAAACATAAATTTTATTCCTAATGAAAACCCATTAATTTAATTTATGGAATTTAGTGAATGAATTATAATTCTAAAATTTTAATTAAAAAATTAGCTTAAAAATGAAAATGCAATGAACATTTTAAAAATGCATACACCTAAATATAAAATAAATTTTAGGTTAAATTAATATATATATATATATATATATATATATATATATATATATATATATGGTGCATTTGTAAATTATAAAAATAAAGGGAATTAATGCTATTTTGAAATTTTATGGCTATTTTTTTAGTAAAAATATTTTTTATTTGAATTTTTTTAAAAAATTGATAGATATTAATTAATGTTTTTAAAGTTTAAAGACATTTTTAAAACAAAATATAAATTATTTTCATTTAAAGCTAACTACGAGTGTATTTAAAAATAAAAATTTAACGGAGATAATTAAAGAATATTTTTTATAATTTAAAATAAAAATTTCAATTTCACCCCAATCTTTTAAATTATTGCATAAAAGACTTGTAAACAACTTTAATTATGAAATAGTGAAATAAAAAAACTAAAATTAAAACCAACTAAATTATACAAAATATTCAATTACTCTTAATTTTAGATTTTTATTGGGCATTTTAGTAAACACCACGAAGTAGAAGGACTTATATAAAATATATATATATATTAAAAACAAATTCTCTCTCTTTTGAACACTAATTATTTCATGAATTTTCTCTCATTATCATGATGAGAGAGTGATTCTTACATGTTATTATAAATATAATCATTGACCATTTCAAGTTCTTCCTATATATATATGTGTATGTATGTATATATATGTGTATGTATGTACACACGCTTACTCAAGTCATTCGACTCGACTTTGCTTGCACTTGGGACTAAGGTCTATCAATGCAGTGTCGCATTTCATCTTATCATCTTGGTTCCCAATTAACATGACCCTCATGTCTTGACACCATCTCAAGTCATTGGGTGTTGTCGGCCATCGTAGCTTGCTCAGTATGAACCCACGTGTCGTTCATAACGTTAGGACTTCCCAAACATTCATCCATCCGGGTTCTTATTGAGACATTGACCCTCCTGTGCTCATGTCATGTCATGTCATTTACGAATACCATACTAGATAGCATGTGCAAAATCCAATCTCCGACATGCAGGAAGGGGCGCAATACCGAAACACTCGTGCTGTCTGGTACTGTCCATGAAAAACGCATTTTAAAGAAAGTCTCTCGAGACCCTCATCTCGAAATGCTTGTTTTCACTATAACACACGCATGTGCCGTAGAATAGGTCGCTTAGGCCAGAATGCTTCGGGTGATGGAGAGCTATGTGTATTAATTCAATGTTAATATGTATTTCGTAAAATAATTATTGTATTAATTAAAAAAATTAAAAAAATAAATATGAAGAAATATTATTTTAGAAAATCGGGTCTATAGTCCATTCCACAGTCAATTACCTTAACGACTCATTTGATTGCAGATATTATTTCATCGGTATAGAAATGTTTGAAATAATACATATATTCAAAAATTTTGGGTTGAATTGGTTCGAATTATTCAAATTATTTATTTAAATTTTTGTTTAAAAAAAAATAATATATTATTTATTTCCAAGCATTTAATTAAAATCTTCTCCATAAAAATAAAAACTAAATAAATATATGTATATATAATTATATCGTAAGAAAAAAAAAATGTATTTTTTAAAATTAACAGTATGGGTTAGATTGGATTGATCAGATTTTTTGGGTCATCGAGTTTTTTTGAACATCCCATGAAACATAATATTCCCGTCTTACTTTTAACTTTATCCGAATAAAATAATATACACAGCTATCGAAGCATATTTTTTTTACCACCTCGTTTAAAGTTCTAAATATCATGTTAGAAACAAAGATATCAAGATTCAACCAAAACTCCGATGAAACAAGTTACGTTATGAAAAACTTAAGGTAAAAGTAAATTTGATAAAAAGTAAATCTAATATTATTCTCGTAAATTTTTCTCGAATACAAGTCTTTGGTCAAGTCAACCATTAGCTATAAAGTGTAATATTTACTTTTAAAGGTTTTGAAGTTTTGTATTTGGAAGGTTTGCTTTGTTTCTAATTAGGTTTTGAATGGAATATTTTGAAATGTCACACTACTTTTTCATATGCCTACAAATTTGAATATGTCAATATTTAATATTATGTAAAGAAAATTATGGTTATCCCGAACCGAAGGTACGTGCGAAGAAAAATGAGATTAACTTAGACGAAACTAGTAGAAAATAACGTGTGACATGAAAAAGTCGAATAAGAAGATATTTACAGGAAGAAAGAATAATTTTTTAAGGTTAAGTTAATAACGTAGCTCCTGTAACAGTCTAAGCTCACTTCTAGTAGATATTGTCCGTTTTAGCTCATTACGTATCGTCATTAGCTTCATGGTTTTAAAACACGTCTACTAGGAAGAGGTTTCCACACCCTTATAAGGAATATTTTGTTCCTCTGTGCAATCGATGTGAGATCTCACAATCCACCCCTTTGGAACCCAGCGTCTTCACTGACAAACAACTTGGTATCTAGCTCTGGTACCATAGCTTAAGCCTATGCACACGTCTACTAGGGAGAGGTTTTCACACCCTTATAAGGAATATTTTGTTCCTCTCTGCAATCGATGTGAGATCTCACAATCCACCCCCCTTAAAACCCAGCGTCCTCGCTGACAAACAACTTGGTATCTAGCTCTGATACCATAGCCTAATCCTATGCACACGTCTGCTATGGAGAGGTTTCCACGCCTTTATAAAGAATATTTTGTTCCTCTCTATAGTCGACGTGAGATCTCACAATCCACTCCCCTTTGTAACTCAGAGTCCTCACTGACAAACAACTCGGTATCTAGCTCTGATACCATAGCCCAAGCCTATGTTAGTAGATACGTAACGAGCCAAATCAAACAATATTTGCTAGTAGTGGGCTTGAGCTATTACAAACTCTCTTCCTAACAAACGTGTTTTAAAAGTGTGAAACTGACGACGAATACGTAACGGATTAAAGTAGACAACATCTGTTAGCAATAGTAATGGACGGTTACAAATTCTTAATTTGAAAGGTGTTTTGTTTTTTGCACCAACCAAAAAAGCAACAGCGGATAAATGAAGGCGGCCGCTATTTTATTTTGAAAAAACAGAGTGCCAAATGCTGACTTTGTTTCAGCTGATTAAATGAAGACCCAAATATTCAAAGCTAAACAAATTCTGTCCCATCTTCCTCAGATCACTTTCATTCCACTCACTATCCATTTTAACTTACACCGTCAAAATTCAAATTTACGGTTCGTATAAAATTAAAACGTTTACAAAACACGTGCTAACGTGTAATATAAATCTCAATAGTATTTTTAATTGAATTATACTGACATTTGTTAGTTCATTTTTATGACACGTGAGTAAATGATGAATACATAAATGAATCGAGACCATATTTGAATAAAAACGATTCCGAGAATAGGAGGACTAAAAAAAGTTTAAAGAAAATGAAAGTTATTGTTTATACCGGAGGTACACTTTTTTTTTTTTTAATGACTTAATTGTTGAAACTTCATGATTAATTATGATTTCAAATATCGAATCTAAATTTCATTTTCAAATCTCGAATAATTTGAATGATTCTAATAATTTTTTTCAACAATTTTTTTTTTTATAAAGAATTTGTCTTTTCAAATGTTTTAAAAGAGATACAACCAATTTCATGAATGGTTCAAAAAAAAAAAAAAAAAAAAAAGTTTTGAATATATTTTTCAACCTTTTCAACTCCATTTATTTATATTGAATTTCATATAGAATTTTGACGATATAATATAACTTTCGACCTAATTTCGTATTTTGAACCTAAACAAAAAAATATATATAATATAAACTGAGCATGGCAGGACAAAAATTTGGCAGGGTCGGGGCAAGGAATAAGTCCTTAACGTTGTTTAGACAGCCCAAAAGCTTTCCCTCAAGATTTTAAAATGCATCGGCTAAGGAGAAGTTTGCACACCAATAGAAAGAATGGTTCATTCCCCTCTTCAACTGATGTGAGATTTCACCGTGAATGTCTAACTACATTATCGTAGTTGTTCACGAAATTTCGAAGTAAATGTCTTTTCTTCTTTCCCGACACAACGAGGCATACAACTTAGAAAACATAGTGTTATCCATCATTATGGGTATGTCCTAAAAGTCTTCTTTCTTTCCTTCCCAAAGAAGGTATTGAAATCATACATTTAGTCTTAACCACAACATTCAATACCATTTTAGACCTGTTCTTGAACACCAAGGGTTTTCTCCATCAATGCTTCAATCAAAATATAGCTTGAAACTACTTGTTTTTATACCAAAAAAAGGACACTTCATTACCTATGAACCAAATTTTCCTTGGCTTCATTGCATTCACACTATCTTTTTCAAAAGTCTTTTAACCAAAAGAATTTTGGTCAATATGAGAGGAAAAGGAACGAGGATTCATAAGCATTTTCTTCGCAAGGAAAGAAAAGTTCAAGTTATTCATTAATGAGAGAGGCTTACTGTAATAGTTCAAGTCCACCGCTAGCAGATATTTGTCTGTTTTAGCTCGTTATGTCTCGCCATCAGCCTCACGATTTTAAATCTCGTTTACTGTAGAGAACTTTCCACACCCTTATAAGGAATGCTTGTTCCCCTCTCCTATCGAAGTGGGATCTCACACTTACCTACAAAGAAAGAGATGAAAGAGATGAAAGTATTAGGATTTGAATGGTCAAAAGTAGCAAGCAAAACATTCCTCCCAATCTCAATCCTCTTCTACATAACTATAGTCCAAAGCCTAAAAGGAAACAAGCATTTTAACATTTGTCGGATGTAGGACGAATGTCATGGAAAGACAAATGTACAAAATGTATTTCGATAATGTTTAGAATTTTTCATTTAGATATATTCTCTCACGTAAGGAAAGTGTAAAACATAAGTGGAAGCTCGTTCAGATTGAAACGACCTACTTCAAAAATTAACTCAATAAATTAAATCTTAGATCTAGCTATTTATGTCTTCGGATCTAAGTATTTACAGAAATTGTTAAAGTTGATTTAACATGCTCACTATGAAGAGTAATCAATATTGTCCACTTTAACCAATTACGTATCATCGTTATATTGTCCACTTTAGCCTGTTACATATCATCATTAGTCTCGTGGTTTTAAAATGCACCCATTAGGCAAAGATTTCCGCACCCTTATAAGGGGTGCTTCGTTCCCCTCTCCAACCAATGTGAGACCTCACAATCCACCCCTTGGGGCCCATCGTCTTCGCTAGAACACCACCTAATGTCTAGCTCTGATACCATTTGTAACAGTCTAAGCCCACCACTAGCAGATATTGTCCGCTTTATCTTGTTACGTATTGCCGTCAACCTCACAGTTTTAAAACATGTCTGTTAGGAAAAAAAAAAATTCCCACTCTTATAAGAGATGTTTCATTCTCCTCTCCAACCATTGTGAAACCTTACAACCTGTCTTCATAGAAATGAAGTTCTTATGAGTAACCCACTGAATAGGACTCCTTATTGGTATATAACTATCAATTCTTTTAACTATTTCGTAACACCTTATGTCCTCAAAATTACTCTCTTTCGAATGTGGGTTCGGTTTATTTATGTATCCTCCTTTACTAAACATTACATTTACAATCCATTAATGACTTACATCCGAAAGAGAAACAATGTCAAAAGACGATAAAGACCTTAATGCCAATATCCCACTTATTATACTAGAAATTAGAAATAATAATTATTGACATGTCATTATAGTATCTAATTTGAAAATTTAAACAACTTGCAATAATTATTGTTACCAAATAGCTTAGAGTCTCACTCCTTGAAGAATAAATGGATTCTTTCATCCTTGAGCTTCCCTCTATGCTGAAAGAAAACTAAAGCTTCCATGATATGAAACTTCATCAAGGACCTGAATAATAACCTATTTACCCTTTATTGTAAGAAAAAGAACATTTTTTTAGGAATGTGACCAAATCTACGTTGATTCATAGTACATATGTAAAGACACAAATATCTCCAATAGCATGAAACCATTTCTCAAGGGTTTATTGTCCAAAGTGGACAATGTCATACCATTGTGGAGATATTTTGAAGATCGTTCTTAACAATTGGTATCAGAGTCATACCCTTGACATAGCCAAGGTGAAATAAATACCCTAGAGTTCGAAACAAAGAAGCTACAAGTCTCGTAATGACATGTCCAAAGTGGACAATGTCATACCATTGTGGAGATATTTTGAAGATCGTTCTTAACAATTGGTATCAGAGTCATACCCTTGACATAGCCAAGGTGAAATAAATACCCTAGAGTTCGAAACAAAGAAGCTACAAGTCTCGTAATGACATGTCCAAAGTGGACAATGTCATACCATTGTGGAGATATTTTGAAGATCGTTCTTAACAATTGGTATCAGAGTCATACCCTTGACATAGCCAAGGTGAAATAAATACCCTAGAGTTCGAAACAAAGAAGCTACAAGTCTCGTAATGACACAACCATAGTTAGTCATAGTGAATATGTGGTTGAGCTTATCAAACAAACAGTACGCTTAGTTGAGAAGTGATAGAATAATAACCAAAGTATTATATTACTAAATACGAGAAGATTCATGGTATGAATTCAATGATATGAAACTAACATTATGACGAAAAAATTTCGTGAGGAATAACTAGTAAATATATCACTCATTTTCATTGGACCTGGTCTGACAGGCAAATGTACAAAGTCAAGTAACAAAGTTGTACAGACCAATGAATCCAAAAACAGAACAGTTGCAGCCACAAGAATGAGGTTTGATGTTTCTTTAATCACACACAATAGATGGGTAATGGAGTAAGGCAAAGGGAGCAAAAAATAAAGGAAAACAAGGAGATTGATCATTTAACAGTGTGGCCGTGGTTGATTTGTCTTTATATGGTTATTATGGGGACACAGACAGTATCCGTTTGTTCAAGAAAAAGTAAGAAGATACTAACTTGGATCATCATTCTCCCCAAGCTTCATCTCTCAATTTTTGTCTTGACACAATGCGATTCCTCCTGTCTTCTTCTTGTTTTCTTAGTTCTTTGGACCCGAAGGCAGTGGTGGAAGCCGGCAGCTTCAATCCCATTCCTTGAGCAATCAGTCGTTGGGCAGTTCTGGCCGATGTCTTTGGCCTCTGCTTTGGAGGCTCCAAATCTGCCATTAACAAAATAAACCAAAAGGGAAAAGGCAGCTCATTCAATCTTCATCAAATAACTTCTAGTGGAGATTTCTGGAAAGAAATAGAAGGTGAGATCCCACATTTGTTGGGGTATGGACACTAGGCCCCGAAGGGGGTGGATTGTGGGATCCCACATCGATTGGGAGGAAAACGAAGCATTCTTTATAAGGGTGTGGAAACCTCTCCCAAGCAGACACAATTTAAAAACCTTGAGAGGAAGCTTGGAAAGGAAAGCTCAAACAGGACAATTTCTGCTATTCGGTGTTACATAGAACTTTTTGCAATCGTAGGGATGGATGATAAGGATTTTTGGGATTACATAAGCTTTTTGGCTTCTTTCTTTAACAGTGTTAACTTGACATCCCCAGTTTTAATGAGAAAATAGTTTTCTATCCAAAGAAATCTTCTTTTTTCCTACGTTGTGCCTTAACAAGCCACAAAAATACTCGATGACAAAACACAACGCTATTATCAAAAAACGAAATGATGTCATTAAAGAGACAAAGAGAAAGGTCTTATCAATACTAACAAACTCAAGAAGATGCTCATACCTCTCGGTGGAATTGAGCTCAATAGAGTATCATTTTCATCAAGTAGGCGTATAGTGAAAGGGCATCTAACATGATTGAGAACTTCAAGTGCTGCATTAGAAAATTAAGGTAGTTATGAAAAGAACTTAATTTTAATACATGAAACTACTTCATCAACATTATAATGTCAACGATTGAGAAATAATGGTACGATGCAAGATAATGATTCAACATAAATATGAATATTTCGGCATTTGATGGGAGACATCACATGGAGGAAGTTTAGTAATCTCCACAAAAGAACCCAAGAAACAACTAGGACTACAATCAAGGATTAACTTAGGATAACTTTTGGAAGGGTAAAAAGTGTTTTTAGGGGATGAAAAGAACTTACAAAAAGTCTCCATATAGTGTTTGATCAGCTAATCAAAAGTGATTTTAGAATTTTAAAAGCATTTCAAGTGTTTTTAGAAGCAGCACTTGATTCTCGGCTCTTCCAAAAGTGTTCAGAGTGTTTCCACTTAAAAGCACTTTTTTTCAAAAGTTATCCCGAACTGCCATAGGCCAAATAAGAAAGTAATAGACAGAAAACAGGATGGTAGTAACTAGTAACCAACATAACAAAAGAAGTACAGTATCAAATATCTACTACTGACTCAGCCACTTCTTGAGTCGCCAATTACAGGACATGAAACGAGATAGAAATAGAAATTTTTACGTAACATAAGGTTTGACAAGATGAGACACGAAGTCCAATACCAAATGAGAAAAACTGCCGAAAATCCTACAAGATTTCCCAAAAATGAAAATCTAGTTTTACGTGACTTACCAGTTGACGGTGTCGGAAAAACTGCAAGTGCGACCGTATCATTGACCCAGCGAATGACAACTCCAGAATTCTTGAAATTTCCAAGTAGCCTTTCAAGATCTATTGTTTTGGTACTCGGTGGAAAGTCAGCTAGGACAAGAACATGTTGAGTACCATATTGTGCTGGATTCACACAATGAAATTAAAAAAAAAAAAAAAAAAAAAAAAAAAAAAAAAGTTNAGCTCTTGGGTGAAAATTATGACTTAATGTGCACAAACATCAATAAATAACTGCTTAGAAGCCCAAAATAATGGCAGTATTATTATGACAACCGTCAAACTTGAACAATATTAAAAAGAAAAAAAAAAATCTAATGGCCAATTTGAATTGTTCCAAAGAACTCAGGATTTAAATTCTAAGGTTCTGAAACTTAAAAGACCAAAGGAAAATATTGATGAAATTCAGGGACTGAGAAAGTATTTATCCTTTTTAGGTAAATACCTTGTTACTCTATTCTTCCATAAACTGAAGGCCTAACCAGAGCTCTCATACAATGACTACATAACTTCGAATTTCACCAGTGATCTAGAAAACAATGAAAAGAATTTCCATCTATCACATTTGGAAATTATGTGAAGAGACTTACCACTTTTTAGCTCCTTACGCCCCACCTCCAACTCATGAGAAGCATCTTCGTCCTTTGTATCATTGGTAGTTGAAGAATCAGATAGCCTATCACTATATAATTCATGTTTCTTATATGAAAATGTTCCCCTCCCACGCCGTCTAGTGGTTTTGTCTGTTGTCTCTCTGATTGTGGTTTGGTCTGTTGTCTCTCTGATTAAAATTTCAGGTTTATCAGGTTCACATTGCAAGGAGAGTAATTCATTTGGTGGGCGATCTGCAATAGCTTCCCAATCTGTAAATTGTAACCACCACTTGTGTTAAATAACATCATTATTGTTATAATTATATTGCACCTATTTTCTATCACAAGCATCATAAAAAGCAAGAAAATTATTTGCCGGAGAAGCATAAGTGGCTATGCAAAAAAAAAAAAAAAAAAAAAAAAAAA